GGAGTTGTAAAACAGAATGTTTGCTAACTTGAGATATGTTGGTTTCTCTGATAGGTGATATCTGATTACCTCCTAGACAACACCTCAGCACAAGACCATGTTTATTTTTACATGCAATCACGCCTCTCACAACATAGGGGTAAAGTTTAGGAATCGGCCAAACCCCTTTTTTTTTTCCATTCGCAAAGTCAGCTGACCAGAAGTCAGTGTTTCTTCCCGCCAGTCACAATTTTTCAAGCTCTAAATATCACCATGTACCGTGCTATTTGGAGCCCGACGCCCTGGTTTTCGGGGGCTGTGGAGAAAAGCTTAGCATATACTGTCGAAAGAAATGTACTTATCGGGAACGAATATAATGCATGTTATATACCAGATTAAGCAAAAAAGTCTGGGCTACAAGATCATGTAAGCCATTTTTACAGACTCTAAACACAACTCAAACAATTCAAATAACCAACTACAAGAATTACCATAATATTAGTCATATTTCGCCATGGCTAAGCCGGGTTTTCCTTCTCAAATATCTGTTCTACGGATGTCCTGTTTGTCATGAATCTGTTTCCGTGAAGACAGGGGTGGAATTTGAGCCGGGGGGAGCTGGGGGTAGGGTTGGACTTTTGGCGTATCGGATTTTACGCTTCACAAGAGACGACGCGTTTTTTATTCTGACTGGCTAACCGTGCTTTCAATCTTTTCCACGTGGCTTTAGCTCAATTTAGCTCAATTCTATTGGCTCTAACGCGTCGAAAGAGGCGCCATTCATTGAAATCGACAAATGGGCTGCTGACTTACAGGTCCGCGTAGACACAGAGGAACTGGAGTCAGCCAAACTCCATGATGCAGAGACACACAGAGAGGGCTCAGAGAGGATTCTGGCTCTCAAAATGAAGCCAAACTGCTGTATTTGGATGTATTGAACACCATTAGTGATAAAACGAGTGAAATATATAGTTATATAGTATGTACAACTAAAATGGAACAGATGTTTCCAAAATGACCATTTTGGTGACCTTGCCTGACCTCTCTGTACTAAAACCTCTCTAATTTTGTTCTGCTTCACTTTATCAAAGCCAAACTTTGCAGAGAGACTGTTCACATATTGTGCTATGATTTGGGAGAGGTTTAAACTTTCAGCTGCATCATTCCAAAGAAATAATAACAATAAAAGTGCTTTTTTTTCAGGCGAACCTGAAACTTTTCAATTTGAGCTGTGTGCCATCTTCATTTACTCTTAACCAGTAATACATACACTGATATTTACACATCTGAACGAATCTCACAAGTGTTACCTTTATTATAATGTCAAAATTATTACAATAGACCTTGTAGTTGCAGAAATACACTCTTTGTAGTATGGGTATGCAATTTTTGAGCAGAGGCCTAAAAAATAGGGCTGGGACTCAAAAGGCATCAGTGGTTCTTTGCTGTAGAGTTTATAGCTTTATACAGCATGCACTCACCTCTGCAAGTTAATATTTAACATAAATCACTTTGAGTGCAGATATTAGGATCATAATGATGCATCAGGGTTGTATAGTGCCACTTTAAATAATGGAGTGTGTTTGCTCAATGCGTATGCTTTTATACTTTTAACTCACACCAGAATCATATGTCTGTAACAAAAAATAAATGCACCCAACCAAAGAGGTTGTCATGAATTATTAACACGGAGGACATCATGGCAACATGAGTGTTGGCAACAAACCCATTTTATTTTCATTTTAGGGCCAATTTAACACAATCAAGTAAGCTATCAGAATCACCACATTTAATCTAATTTATTTCATTTTTTCCATTTTTACAACTAGCAATTATAATTTGATGTGGAAATTTGAGGCAAACATGATACCTGAACGATTTTAAGTGCTTTTCAGTTTTCGCTTTCCACTCTTTGGGACCGGTTTATATGCATTATTTTCACAGTTTAGCTACAGATAAGAAGAACCTACCTCCTCCATGGCTTTGACACAAGTAAGGGAACCTTTACACGTTGCCAAGTCCCACACAGAAGCCCACACAGGTGAGCAGATACTGGGCTTTATTGTCCCATTTGGGCCTGTCCCCTGCCTCAACCTTCTCCATCCTCTCCAGGTCCCCGTGAGAGGGGATCCTCTCTTCGAGCCCAGGGTTTGGAAGAACCAGTCTCATGGTGTCTGTGGAGTTATTCCAGTCTACAGATCAAAAATGTCGGACAGGCGAAGCTGGGAGATTCACATTACTGCTGGCTATCAGAGAACTCAACCTCTGACAGTGTGTGTGTGTGTGTGTGTGTGTGTGTCTTGCACATTCTATTTGTCTGTCCATCTCATCCACCAACTTGAAGACACATGGGTGTCAACATCATAAATTATTCCTACCAATCAGAATAAGATGTGTCTAGATTTATGTGCGGTGGAAAATTGACAGACGCACACATCTAGGGGCAATGTGCACCAATTCACGCATATGAGACTGAGGCCATGAATACGAAAACCTCCCACAAAAACCACAAAAACATTTTCTTAAGAGGTCAACATGAACATGGACTCTGATCCCTCTAATGAGTTAATTTATTATACTTTTTTAACCATGCACCAATTGGATTTCATATGTCTGCAAAATTGGAACTCATAACATATTTCTACTAATGTTCAGTACGACAATATGCATGTGCATTATTTGTCAGTTCAACTAATATTTTAACCATTTATGATTAGGACATTTTGTGGATTTTCAAACAACCTGAGGGTAAAGAGCTGTTAATAAGCAACCCATTGATAAGTTTTAAGAAGCTACTTGTACATGTGTGATCCCAGACAGGACAACAGAAGTAGAAAAAAATGTCTCTAAAGATAGACTAGATGAAAATCTGAAACCTCAGACAGACTCATGTTGGTGTCAGTTGGTTGTGGCACACATTACTGCAAGCTAGCATATTATGTTGATCTTGCGGTTATATCATTTGAAAGGTGAGGATAAACTACGTGTGTTTATTACACAAAGTATGAAACACGACAACATTCTACAAAAACAGCAGCAACAGTAAAAACACAACATTTCAGAAAATATTTCAGATATTTGAATGTCCACAGGAGAGGTGCTTGCACCCCATTGCATTCTGTGAGAAGATGTGTCTGCTGTTTTAATAACTTAACATGTCTTGAGTTTTGGTTCTGTGCAGAGTTGGTCGAATTGTCCAATGGTGGGTTTTCTGATTTGTTTTGTTAAGTTGTTTCATGATAAAGTGTGTTTCACTCAAGAGAGCATTCAAGATTCAAGTGTTCTCTTAAAGGTCATTGTCTGGTAACCATTAGCAATCATTTACGATGTTCAACAGATGTGCCGTCATCATTCCTTGAACACCATTTTTGGTGCAAAGGGGACGTTTGGGTTAAAATTTCAACGGCAAGTATTAAATACCACATCTTAGTTCGTGGCCAATTAAAAGCACATCAACTCATTCCAGCTGATGATTTATGGTTAGAGATTACCATACTATAGTCAGAATAACATCAGCTGGTAATTCCTAATCATGCAGGAGAATGTGGCAGAACTACATAAGAGATCATACCGTGAGTGGCTGTCAGGGTGTGTGAAGAAGCCTTTGTACTTTGTTCTTCACCTTACAACCAGTCATTAACTTCAGGTGCACACTGTTATAATATGAAGCCGATGATGCGTTTTTCTTGAGGTTTATCAGTGTGGCTGTAACTCGTAAAAGAAGTCACATTCTGCCCTGCAGTGGTAACTAAGAGGTGAGATCCACTAATTTTCCCTCTCGTGGATTTAATGACATGTTATACGATAGATCTCGCCCACATACACAGATGATGTTTGCAGGTGCACAGACAAAGGGCCTAGTAATGAAGCTCTAGCGTAAGTTCAGACAGGAAGACTATACTCTTGCATGCCTACGTCGTAGTTTATTTCCCATACACCTGCCAATCACTCCTCAGGCAGGCACACTCATTATTTCCTTGCTGTTATTGTTTGGGGCTGTCAATCATGATGTCAGCTGTCTAGATCAGCTGGTCTCTCTATCCAATAGCACAACGACACAATTACATCGTTGGCCTATCATCTTGCTGCTGTCTCTCTTAAATATGATTGTCTCTCTACCTTCAGTATGTTCATGCTGCTGTAACGCAACCCTCCACCTCCCCATCGCCGCCCAATCTTCGCAGATTCATCAGCTTCATCAGCCACCATCACCACCAGTGTCTGGACTCCACGGGGGGATTTATTTTGTTGCTGCTCAGGGCAGACGCCTATCATTTGTTCACAATAAACAATTATCTTTTCTTTATCAGACTTGTCTCTCCTGATTGCAATAAAGTAAATGGAAATTGACTGCAATAACTGACAGAAATACTGTATAAACTGCATTAATACATTTTAGCCACAAGAGGTCAGCATTGGTCCACTTGCACTTGCAGCAAAACTCTTCACAGGAAATGTTCATCCCAGAATTACTCTGATCTGTCTGTTGTACTCTGTACAGAGCTTTTTGACAACATTGTTTTCAAAGGTAATAATAAGGAATATTCACTCAATGATACTGTTTTAGTGCATATTTTGACTAATGTTACAACGAAATTGTAGGTAATTATTTTGCATCCAGGCTGTATGTTCATAGTTTTTTAAAATATTTTTTATAGGATTAGTGCAGTTCATTTTCATATAGGAAGCTAAAGTAAGCCGGAGGCAGCGAACTGAAGGGAGAGGGAGGCGAAGGGAGAGATGAGGCAGAGGGGAAAATAGAAAGGGGGGGTTGGGGATTTACTGGGACTCAGACAGACAGCAGACCGGCTGTCCCAAGCTGCGCTGATCCTTCACTCTCCGGCATCACTAGCCACCTGCCTCTCCGAGAATAACTCACCAAAAAACCTGAGGGCGAGCGCAACCACAGCAAGGGAGGCGAGACAAGAGACTGGCCGGTTCCTTGTGCCACTCTTTCGGCTCCCAGCACACACCCCATCTCCTACCCCCCCATCTCCTCCCCCCCCCCCTGTCCTGCGGGAGGACAGGCTGCTCTCACGAGCGCACTTGGCGCACTTGGCGACCCGGGTTTGTTGTCGTTACCAGGAGAGGAGCCACAGCCGACAGCCTACAGCTCTCATTGAACCGGGCTGCCCTCTCAGAGGAGATACTTGCATGGATGCACCATGGCCACGTTTGTCTGCAGGGTTCAGTTTTTAGATGACACCGATCCGTTTAACAGCACGAATTTCCCGGAACCGACCAGACCGCCGCTGTACACCTTCAGGGAGGATATCCCACTCATCAACCAGTTAGCGGGCATCCACCGGCTCCTCAAGACTCCACACAAGGTAGGATTACCAGCGCAAACAACTAGACTTTAGTTATGCGTTGAATGTGAGAAAACATTGATGTATTACGGATTGTAGAGTGATTTATTCCACCATAACGCAGCATACGACACGGAAAAATTAAAGTACAAAGTTCAATTCTAATAGTAAAGGTAAGCTTTATTACTATTTTTCATGTTGAGATTGAAATACACAGTCATGAATAAATAGATTTAAATAAGGACTGCACAAGGTCGTTATCACTGCTGTTTTTCACTTTAAGCCGACTGCAAATAAACTTCCATACCCACCATTCAGAGGCTATTTTGAGAACACATTGCAGGCACAACTGATAGGCTCTGCGGGCTGAGGACCGAAACAAGGCTGCAAATGTTTCCCCTTAAAGCCCACAGCTACATTACCCCATGTTGGCGTACATCTGCTCTGCTGCAGTGCAATTGAGAGAGATGCTGGATCTCCACTAGCTCCAAGAAAACCTTTGACCTCTCTGTTGATAAAGCTTCAAAATAAGAATAGATCACAAAGTTACCTCTGAATGTGTTTTGCACGCTGTCACAGTGACAGGTGTGCAAAGGCTTTCACTGCAGCCAGATGTTGTGTGCCTGTGAAAGCTCTGATTCGCAGCGAAAGGCCCGAATCACAGATGATCAAATTTAGATCAAGTGTCGGATTACGATGGGTGTGTGATAGAAAGTGTCTGTGTACCGTTTTTAGTGAATTTCAGTGTTAAACCCATAAAAAAAAGCAACAGCAACACATTCCTTACTGACGAGGCTGGGTCACAACAAACACACTCGCAGAGGCTAAACAAGTGAAGCAGATACTTTGTGACCTTGTATTTATTCTTCATTTGTATATAGATGCTGTATAATTCAAGCTGAAAACAGATTGATTTGAAAATAAATACGAGGCACAGAGAGAAAGAGAGAGTTCCACTGCTGGCACACAACCCTGACGGCAAACCAGCGTTCAACAGCAGAGTTGTTTTTCAGACCAAATGGATCTTTTGCTGGCCCATCTTTAAAAGCCACAAAACAAATGAAAAAATGGCCCACAGCAAAGCTTATGATTACAACCTCCACGCAGACAGATGGTACAGCCTGCGTTCATGTTTGCAATTTTGTTCACATCAGAAGGAAGACTGTGCGCAATGGCAACTGGATATTGGGCTTAGATTATAGGGATGAAACTGAAATGTTGCAAATTTGCTGGACAGACTGACCAGGATTCAAACGTTGGTGTTGAATATTATCATGTCATTGGAAAATGCCAAAGCTAGCAAGAGTTTGACAACTGAGCTCATTCTTAATCCTTCTTTGTTAAAGCAGCCTTTCGCTCTTTTTGTTTTAACCTTCTGTGCTCTTCCCTGAGAAAAAGCCTACTGTATTATTATGTTGTGATGGTTGAGCTCTGTGTATGGCTGGCTGGGCTGCATGCAAAGTATAGGTCACTTTTGTCCCAGAATTCCTGTGGCCGGGGTCTGGATCTCTGCGACACTTTGTTCTCCTCACTTTGGGTGCCGTGGTTTTCCTGACCTCTTCCTCCACCTCCTCTCCCACCTCTCTGACTATGCACCAGTATATAGACTCAAACACACACACACACACACACACACACACACACACACACACACACACA